TGGCTCCATGGGTAAAGCAGGAACCAGGGGAGAGTGGGGGACTAGCGGAAGGCTAGGGAGGGAGAGTTTGGGGTTTGGGCAGGATGGGATGCCTACGTCTCTAAGGAAATTTGAAACTGGAGCAAGAGCCAGCAGAGGCCTGGACGCTGCCTGCCTCCTCCACTCCAGGTGCACTTTGATGAGGGGAAGGCTGTCTACCTGAAGCTGGACTTGCTGGTGGATGACATGCTGGCCCTGCGCTGCCTGGAGGAGTTCTCTGCCACAGCAGCGAGTTCCCTGGGGCCCCAGCTTCGCCTCTGCCAGGTGTCTGGGCTGTTGCCCCTGCGGCCAGGGTCCTCCCTGCGGATTCGCACCCTCCCCTGGGCCCATCTCAAGGCTGCCCCCTTCCTCACCTACTTCGGACTCTTCCAAGTTCACTGAGGGGCCCTGGTCTCCAGGCAGATGTCCCAGGCTGCTGGCTCCCCACAAGAGCTCTCAGAGCACCCTGGTCTCCTCTGCCCCACCCTCAGCTGCTCCTGGCTCCTGGCCTGCCCCTGCCTCTGCCGCCTGTCAGGGCTCGTTCACGTTTTCCCTCCCACATAAATACAGCATTCCCATTCTCCCTTACAACGCCCCACCTCCAACTCTCCGCCTCACCAGCTCCCAAACCCCTGATCTTCCGAGGCCTCCATTTATCCTAACTCCTCCTGGCCACAGCCCCCCAGGACACTGTGTTTGCTGTACTCTGTGGGCAAGGATGGGTCCAGAAGACTCTGCTTCAGGCACTAGGAGGGGCTTTACCTGGTGGCAGGAAGCAGAAGAGGCTGGGCCTAGGCCAAGAGTTACCAGATGTGAGGGGTGAGAAGCCAGGACAAGCTCCTGCCTTGAGAATTCCCTGTGGATTTTTAAAACAGATATTATTTTTAATATTATTGTGACAAAATGTTGATGAGTGGATATTAAAGAGAATAAGTCATGGTTTCTCTCTTTATTGGGATTCAGGGGACATTCTGGGGTAGCTGAGAGCCATGGGAAGAGGGTCTGGGCATTGGGCAGCGGGGCGCAGGACAGCTGGAATTCCAGGTTGCTGTTCAGGCTTCGGAGTGGGCCCTGCATGCCTGCAACCCCAGGTGTGAGCAGAGAGTAGAAAGGCACACCGCCCAGGAGAAAAATCAATCCTGTGCCCAAGGTGCACAAGCAGCCTCATTTCCCTAAGAGGCGGACTTCCTCCTGTGGGGGAATCCCTGGCTGGGAGGGGCAGGAGCCCTTCCTCTTAGTGGCCTTGGGGCATTCAGCAGGTGCTGGCACAGGCCCCGGTTAGAAGGTGGGCGGGGGAAGCCCCAGAGGGGGCTCAAAGTCAGTAGGCTCGGGAGCCTGGGCCCCTGGGTACCAGGAGAACCCCTGCAGTGGCTGGGGGCCCGGGGCTGCCTCTTTGTCTCTTCGTCCAGAGCCTTATGTAAGAGCTTTTCTCGAGAAACAGGAAGTCCTGCTTGCCAAGTTTAGCACAGGGAGTAGTGCAGGCCTTATTCCAACAAACCCGGCCCAGCCTTCACCCCAGAACTCAGCCAGATTCTTGCTTCCGTGCCCCCTGTTCTTCCCACTGACCCCGCCTCTCCTTCCCCACCTTCAGTCACCCCTAGCAAACTGCCCCAGAGCCCTCCCGTGCCTGAGCCAGAGGACGCACCCTCACCGCGGCCCCAGACACTGCCAGCCTGGCCCCCCATCCAGCTCCTGGCACCATGCCCCATAGCCAGCCAACCTTCCCTCCCCCAGCTCTGGGGCTGCCCCAGGGTTCCTGCGCACTGGCCGCTCCTCCTTGGTGTCACTGGCAGCCCTGTTCTTCGTAGAGGGACTGGAACCTAATTCTCCTGAGGCTGGGGAGGGTAAAGGGGTCTGAAGGCAACACTGGCCCCACAACGGAGTGCCAGGGGCACTGATAGTACCCCTAGCTTGCTTTCCTCCTCCCTCCTTTTTATTCTCAAGTTCCTTTTTATTTCTCCCTTGCGTAACACCCTTCTTCCCTTCTGTACCACTGCCCTCACCCCTACCCTCCCTGCCATCTCCTTGCCATCCCACTCCTGAGGCCACAGCTGTTGGTGGGGTCCCCAGCTCATGCCAGCCTCATCTCCTTTCTTGCTAGCCCCTAAAGGGTCCCCAGGCGACATGGGGGGCCCGGTCCGAGAGCCGGCACTCTCGGTTGCCCTCTGGTTGAGTTGGGGGGCTGCTCTGGGAGCTGTGGCTTGTGCCATAGCTCTGCTGACCCAACAAACAGAGCTGCAAAGCCTAAGGAGAGAGGTGAGCCGGCTGCAGAGGAGCGGAGGGCCCTCCCAGAAGGGAGAAGGGTATCCCTGGCAGAGCCTCCGGGAGCAGGTGAGCAAGGGGAGAAGGGTGTCTGGGAGAGAAGGTTGAGTGGCAGGGGGTTCTCTGGGCTTCCTGGTATGCAAAGTTTCAAGTGGGTGCAAGAGAGGGTCTCAGGCTTGGAAGTCAAGGGAGTGGCCATTCCAGGAAAGAAAGCTGTTAAAGGTTAATGCTTCTTATACCTAATAGATCCTGGAGGGCAGCCAGCACCCAGACTCAGGGTGCTGGGGAAAGGTGCATGAGAGATCTGAGGCATTCAGGGGGTGGGGGAGAACTGGGAAGGAAGGCTGTCTGGGACCCTTGCATCTTAGTCTAACCCTGACCCTCTTTCCACAAGCAGAGCCCTGATGCCCTGGAAGCCTGGGAGAATGGGGAGAGATCCCGGAGAAGGAGAGCTGTGCTCACCCAGAAGCAGAAGAGTGAGGCCTCCAGGGTGCAGCAGGGGTGGGAAGTGATCAAGCAGCATGAGAACTGTCAGCCCCAGCCAGGGTGAGGGTGGAGGCTGACGACAGGGCAACTGGGGTAGGTGGACGCTGCTGAGATTCCCTCCTTCTCTCCTCAGAGAAGCGCTCAGTTCTGCACCTTGTTCCTATTAACATCACCTCCAAGGGTAGGCACTATTTTAAATAATGGCTTTTTGGGAGGGGCAAGAACTAGGACTTTGGGGCTGGCACATGGGCCCAAGAGAATCCTATAGGTGAAAAGGGGAGAGCCGATATGCACCTGAGAGTGCAAAGAAATCCTGACCACCACACCCCTCGCCTCCAGAGGAATCTGATGTGACAGAGGTGATGTGGCAACCAGCTCTTAAGCGTGGGAGAGGACTGGAAACTCAAGGATACGTTGTCCGAGTCTGGGACACTGGAGTTTATCTGCTGTATAGCCAGGTAACCCCAGCCATAGCCTGAGCCTCGTGTGGGGCCCCAGGGGCTTGCGTGTTGCTGTTTTCTCAGAGTCTGTACATCCTGCTTCTGAGGGTTCCTGATCATTCTGTTCCCACCAAACTTAGAAGACCCTTCTTAGTTCCCTGGCTCCCTTGTCAGGGATGGAGGCCTCCTAGGATTGAGCTGTGCCATCCTGTTTCCTTCAACATCTCCTCCCTTCCCTGCCAGGTCCTGTTTCATGATGTGACTTTCACCATGGGTCAGGTGGTGTCTCGGGAAGGCCAGGGACAGCAGGAGACTCTATTCCGATGTATACGAAGTATGCCCTCCAACCCAGACCGGGCCTACAATAGCTGCTATAGCGCAGGTGAGAGCCATTCAGGCAGCAGAGGGGGGACAGGAGGAGAGCAGGATATCTCAGACCTGGGGGCAGCAATGCTATGACAGTGGGTTGGAAGCCTGCATATAGACACAGATCTGAGAAATGAAGCACAAAATATCTGGGTCGTCCTTACAGGAGGCAGAGAAAAGGTGGAGCTGGAGAAGGTGGGGTATCTGGATGGCTGTGCTTCACTGAGGATCTATTTTCTCCCTTTTCTCAGGTGTCTTCCATTTACACCAAGGGGATATTCTGAGTGTCACAATTCCCCGGGCAAGGGCAAAACTTAGCCTCTCTCCACATGGAACTTTCCTGGGGTTTGTGAAACTGTGATTGTGTTATAAAAGGTGGTTCTGAGCTTGGAAGACTGGGGTGGGTACATACCGTAGACAGCCTCAAGCTGAAGAGACAAAGGATAGGGAGTGGGCAGGAACAGAGGCCTCTTCCTGGGTTTGACTTCGTAACTCTCTGTTTCTCCCTTTTCCCTTTCTACTCCCAGCCCCCAGACTTTGATTTTATGTATATCTTGCTTCTGTTCCCCATCCTGCCCCAAATTCTTGTGTATGTGCTGGTGGAGTGGGGGCGGGAGAGGGGGCGGCTGCCCCGCATTGTCCAAGCCTGCCATGGGGCCACTGGAATGCATCCAGAACAGCACCACCATCTAGCGGCAGTTTGAGGGAATCGTCCCGACTACTGGCAGACGTCCCCGAAGCCTCCCTCCGCTAGGGAAAACCCCTGGTTTCCCATGCCACACCTCTCTCCAGGTACCCTCTGCCTCTTTACCCCACTGGAAGTCTCTTTTTCACTTCCCTCTCTCCATCTAATGGGCCCGTTTCCATGACTATCTCCAGAGGTTTGTCTATTATGTGCCAGTCTGCATGAGGCTCCCGACGACCACGACGGTCCCTTCCGGGTCCTAAGGTTTGCCTTTCATGCTCTCCATTTCCCTGGCGTGTGCAGGTCACCTCAAGCCCCTCCGGGCTGGGACTGATCTCCAGGGACCCTTGGATGAATCGTACGCCATGGTGTTGGTCTTGTCTCATTCCTCTGACCTCTTGTTTCTGCTCAAGCCCTGCTTAAAGTTAAATAAAAGATAATGAATGTATACCCCGGCTCCATTCCCCCCACTGTCTCGCCTCAACGCCGTCCCTGTACCGGGATCTCCCTGCCTTCCTGGTTCTCCTTTGGAGAGCCCCGCCGGACCAAGGCATTGTGGGGTCCACCAGGCAAAGGCCCACGAGCAAAGAGACTACAGGGCTACGCCGCGGGGCGTGAGGAAACACGCAGGCGCACCCGGGCGCGGCCAGGTCAACTGATATGCGCAGGCGCAGCCCTGCGTAGCGCTCAGGGCAGAACCTCCCCGTGGCGTCTGCGTTCCTGGGTAGGCGAGACCCAGCGCGTGGTAGCCGCGCCGGCGCTCTTCGCCGGGTGTGACGTAGTAATCGTGCGCCACCACCGCCGGTGGGCCTGGGGCTCGCGGGAGGGGAAGGAGGAGGAGGAGGAGGAGGGGGAGGAGGTGGTGGTGGTGGTGGTGGTGGTGGTAGTGGTAGTAGTGGTGGTGGTGGAGGTGGAGGCTGAAGCAGAGCAAGAGGCGGCCGCGGCGGGGCGGCTCGGCGGCGCGGCACGCGGCCCAGAAGCGTTGGAATCCTGAATTGAGACGGCTGTGCCTGAAGACAGCAGGAGTGGCGGGGCCGCCGCCGTCGCCGGAGAGATGAGCCGGGAAGCTTGAGGCCGGAGACGCCCGCCCTCGGGCCCGTCCGCCCGGCTTCCCCACTCCCGGTGAGGACGCCCCCACCCCTCCCCCTAGCCCTGCCTTGGCCTCTCCCATTCCTGGGCCTCGCTCCCACCTAACTGGGGCCAAGAGGCCTTCGTAGGGGCTTCTTAAGGCCCTTGTCCGCCGAGCCGTCCGAGCTTGTAGGACCACACCGGTGCTGGGACTCATTCTGGTTCCTGGGGATGAAGCAGGAGGGAACTGGGCCGGCCTGGCTCGCGCAGCTCAATTCTGCTCTAGCACCTTGATTCGGCTGCTTCAGCACCGATTCTGTTCTCTTTCAGTTTCCTTCAAAGTCCTTCCCCTTTTATGAGACTCAATCCCCTGAACCATAGCCTTGGTATCCTCATTCCCACCTGAGATTACCTCAGCATGTCCACACCCACCATTCATTCCAGAGTGGCAGAGAAGAAGTGTCTTCCCACTTTAGCTCACAGTTTCCCTGTGAAAGTTGTGTTCTCCTCAGGTAGCACTGTACCATGTCAGGATTCCTGTGCTGAGCCATCTCCCTGAGCAAAGAAATCATTCTTATGCTCTCAAAGGACAGTGCTGGTGGTATTCAAATACAGAAGTCAGAGCCTGACAACGCTACTGGATTTAACCTCAGGCTCTGAGAAAAAGATCCCTAAGGCCTGCTGCTTAGCCAGTTTCCCTTTCCTCTACCTGGGCAGGGGAGAGATGATGGCACAGACTCTAAAGGGGCCCTTTGTGGACCATGTTAAGTGGGAAAATATGAAGTTAGGAGTTTCATGTTTTTTCCTCTTTTCTTAGTTTATCTGTATTTGAATCCAGAGGGGCCATGCTAAGGAAAAGATGCAGGATCTGGGGGACAGGATGTTTGGATTCTGATACTGTAACCTTTGTTTTACAGGGTACTGGAAGATGAAAGAGACTATACAAGGGACTGGGTCTTGGGGCCCTGAGCCTCCTGGACCTGGCATAGCCCCAGCTTACTCAAGCCCCAGGAGGGAGCGTCTTCGTTGGCCCCCACCCCCCAAACCCCGACTTAAGTCAGGAGGAGGCTTTGGGCCAGATCCTGGGTCAGGGACCACAGTGCCAGCCAGACGCCTCCCTGTCCCTCGACCCTCTTTTGATGCCTCAGCTAGTGAAGAGGAGGAAGAAGAGGAGGAGGAGGAGGAGGAAGATGAGGAGGAGGAAGTGGCAGCTTGGAGGCTGCCCCCCAGATGGGGTCAGTTGGGAACCTCCCAGCGGCCTCGCCCTCCCCGCCCCACTCATCGAAAAACCTGCTCACAGCGCCGCCGCCGAGCTATGAGAGCCTTCCAGATGCTGTTGTACTCAAAAAGCACCTCGCTGACATTCCACTGGAAGCTTTGGGGGCGCCACCGGGGCCGGCGGCGGAGCCTTGCACACCCCAAGAACCATCTTTCACCCCAGGAAGGGGGTGCGACGCCACAGGTGCCATCACCCTGCTGTCGTTTTGACTCCCCCCGGGGACCACCTCCACCCCGGCTGGGTCTGCTAGGTGCTCTCATGGCTGAGGATGGGGTGAGAGGGTCTCCACCAGTGCCCTCTGGGCCCCCCATGGAGGAAGATGGACTAAGGTGGACTCCAAAATCTCCTCTGGACCCTGACTCGGGTAAGGTGGGAAAGGGGTGGGGCGGGGTGGGGGGGTAGGGATGGCTAAGAGCCTGGAGCACCAGGAGCCTCTTGCTGTGGTGAGAACTGGGCCTAAGGAAAGTAGGATGGCAGAGTGAGGGGTCCAGAGTAGCTGCGAAATGTCTTCATTAAGCCCCACTCTGAGCAGAAAGTAAGCCTAGGAGACAGTCAGCTGGAAACAGAATCCCTAAGTAGATGTCTTTTGGTCTTGAGCACAGAGGAGAAAAGGAGCTGTGGTTTAGAAAAATTAGACAGTCTTGTCCACTTGAAATCCCTTTTTGGTCTCTCAGCGTAAGAGTCCCTGTGTGAATATCTCCAGAAGGTGCCATTCTCATAGTGATGGCATGAGACCTCTCCCAGTATTGGAGTACATCATCTGTATGGTTGTGTGTGACATTCTCGCTTAGAATATTTCCCTTTTGGAGAACTCTAGCCAAATGATTTCAGTCTTTCTATATCTTTATTAAACATTCAAATATTTGTTGAGCTTATATATTATGCTGGATACCATGCTAGGTGTTTGGTAGGTTAGTGGTGACAAATATCCCTGAAATTTACATCGCTGAGTACTAATCTTTTCTTTCTTTCCTCCTGTCTATGAGTAGGAACTCTTTCTCCCTGTCCCTTTAGAATCTCTTGGACATCCTTACCTTATGCTTTGTGGTCTCCATTTCTTATATTGGTTGATTCTGCTTCAGTTTATCCTTCTTGTGGTCTTACCATTTGTGTCCATCGTTAATTGTATGTATCTGATTGTCTTTTCACCTGGCCAATTTCTCATCCTCATTCTATTTCCCCTGTCCTGTAGGCCTCCTCTCGTGTACTCTGCCCAATGGCTTTGGGGGACCATCAGGGCCAGAAGGGGAGCGCAGCCTGGCACCCCCTGATGCCAGCATCCTCATAAGCAATGTATGCAGCATTGGGGATCATGTGGCCCAGGAGCTTTTTCAAGGCTCAGATTTGGGCACTGCGGAAGAGGCAGAGCGGCCTGGGGAGAAAGCTGGCCAGCATAGCCCCCTGCGAGAGGAGCATGTGACCTGCGTACAGAGTAAGGAGCCCTAGAGGATCTAGCCTCTTTTCTCTTGGGCTGACTCCTAGAGCAGAGTTTGGAGGCCTCACTCCACTCCTTTCTCTCTCCCTCACTTAGGCATCTTAGATGAATTCCTTCAAACTTATGGCAGCCTCATCCCCCTCAGCACTGATGAGGTAGTAGAGAAATTGGAGGACATTTTCCAGCAGGAGTTCTCTACGCCTTCTAGGTGAGGTTTAAAAGACTAGTGCCCTTCAGAGGAGGTCTGGGACCTGGGGGATGGGGAGAGAATGCTGCTGCCTTTTCTCCCATAGGAATGTACTTGGGGAGATGAAGGAAGGTAGAGCTGAAGGGGAGGAATCTGCAGGCAAGGTGCCAAGTCCCTGTAAGCCGACTGGGAGGGTCTTTACCTGGCACCTTGAATACTATGTATACCTGAGTATTCATGTGCCTCTTTCTAGGGAGTGGGCCTTCAGCAGAGCCTCAAGGGGACCCATGACTAAAACAAACAAACAAAAAACAACTGGGTCAGTTAAGATTTTTATTCTAGGAAGTAGTAGTATTTCTATGTGCCCCAGCTGCATCGTCTCTTGTGTGACTCCACCCTTGGCCTACTCAGGAAGGGCCTGGTGCTGCAGCTGATCCAGTCATACCAGCGGATGCCAGGCAATGCCATGGTGAGGGGCTTTCGAGTGGCCTATAAGCGGCATGTGCTGACCATGGATGACTTGGGGACCTTGTATGGACAGAACTGGCTCAATGACCAGGTGAGAATTGTGCAGAGAAACATGCCTGAGAGGGGATTCAGGGCGCAGGGTGTCTGGGGGCCCTCTGCATGGGGGAGCCCTGTACCCATGCTGCACCCTCCATGGCAAGTTGCCTCCCGTCTTTCACCCAGGTGATGAACATGTATGGAGACCTGGTTATGGACACGGTGCCTGAAAAGGTAGGCCCAATCAGCTATTTCAGTCCCCAAAAGAACTTCTGCAGTTCTAAGCAGCTTTTTCAGTCCCTTTCATCTCTTTCATTTTACATAAAGAAGATCTCTGTTCCTGGGGCAGAGGTGGTAGATGATAATCTCATAATTTCTAATCTGTAATCTTGGCCTTGAATTTATCAATTCTTTTCCTTTCACCAATTTTTAGTGTTTTTCCCTATGGCTAACCTCAAGAATTGGGATGGGAACCTATCTATAAGATATGGTTAGGGGCCAGGTGTGCCGGCTCATGCCTATAATCCCAACACTTTGGGAGGCCAAAGTGGGAGAATTGCTTGAGCCCAGGAGTTCAAGACTAGCCTGGGCAACATAGTGAGACTCCATCTCTGCAAAAATAAAAAATGAAAAAATTTGGCTGGGCGCAGTGGCTCACACCTGTAATCCTAGCACTCTGGGAGTCTGAGGAAGGAGAATCACTCGAGGTCAGGAGTTCGAAACCAGCCTGAGCAAGAGCGAGACCCAATCTGTATTAAAATAGAAAGAAATGAATTGGTCAACTAAAAACATAGAAAAAATTAGCCAGGCATGGTGGCATATGCCTGTAGTCCCAGCTACTTGGGAGGCTGAGGCAGTAAGATTGCTTGAGCCCAGGAGTTTGAGGTTGCTGTGAGCTAGGCTGATGCCACGGCACTCTAGCCCAGGCAAGAGAGTGAGACTCTGTCTCAAAAAAAGAAAAAGAAAAAAATTAGTTGGGCATGGTGATGCATGCCTGTAATCCCAGCTACTTGGGAGGCTGAGGCCAGAGGATCACTTGAGCCCAGGAATTCGAAGTTACAGTAAACTATTACATGATTGTGCCACTATACTCCACCCTGGGTGACAGAGTGAGACCCTGTCTTAAAAAAATAAATAGGCCGGGCGCGGTGGCTCACGCCTGTAATCCTAGCATTCTGGGAGGCCGAGGCGGGCGGATTGCTCGAGGTCGGGAGTTCAAAACCAGCCTGAGCAAGAGCGAGACCCCGTCTCTACTATAAATAGAAAGAAACTAATTGGCCAACTAATATATATAGAAAAAATTAGCCGGGCATGGTGGCGCATGCCTGTAGTCCCAGCTACTTGGGAGGCTGAGACAGAAGGATCGCTTGAGCCCAGGAGTCTGAGGTTGCTGTGAGCTAGGCTGACGCCACGGCACTCACTCTAGCCTATGCAACAAAGTGAGACTCTGTCTCAAAAAAAAAAAAATAATAATAAAATAAATAAATAAATAAATAAAAGTTAAAGACAATAATTTGTTTTCTTACTGTCAGTGAATTTGCGTAGGAGTTGTTGAAATCAGCCCTTAGAGCCATATGAAATGGAGTAGACTGGCAGAGGGGGAGACTTCGTGGGAGGGTCTGTGGTCTTTTAATTCCATCCAGCTCTTTTGTGTCATTGGCACAGGTGCATTTCTTCAATAGTTTCTTCTATGATAAACTCCGTACCAAGGGTTATGACGGGGTGAAAAGGTGGACCAAAAACGTGAGTTATGAATTCACATCTACTTAAGTAACACCTTGCCTCTAAAGTTTTGTTTTCTATGAGCCCTTTCCCTGATCCTATTCAGTCCTTCAAAGATTAAATGTTTCCTGCGTGTTAAGTACTGTTCTAGGTATTAAGGATAGAATATTAAATAAGGAAAACTTTTTGCCCTTATGGAGTGAGAATAAACAAGTTAAGTTTCAGCTTGTGTTAAGTGCTATGAGCAGATCAAAACTGTAATATGATAGCATGGGAGATAGGTGCTTTAAATTGTGTGTCTAGGAACACTTCTCATAGCTGAGACTTGAATGATGAGGAGCCAGCCATGTACAGATCTGGGGGAAGAGTGTTCTAGAAGAAGGGAACAGCAAGTACATGGGACCCAAAGTGAAAAAGAACATGGTTGAGAAATAGAGGGCCCATGTGGTTGGAGCAGAGTGAGCAAAGGAAGACTGATAGAAATTTGGTCAGAGAGTACATCATATAAGGCATGGTGGGGTAGGCTGAGGAGGGTAGATTTTATTCTGTGTGTACTGAGAAGCCCTTGAGGAGTTTTAAGCAGGCTGAGAAGTGCCTCCAGTTTTAAACTCCTGTTTTGCTGATAGATTGAAAGGAGGCAAAGAGCGGAAGCAGGAGAGGAGCACAGTAGTCAGGTGAGAAACTTCGAGTGGAGTGCTAAATGAAGGGAGAGGCAGAAGTTTTATGATACATTTTACAGGTTGAACCAGTATGACTTTGTGTGACAGGTTGTGTGCTTTGTGAAATACATATTTGGAGGCCAGGCAAGGTGGCTCATACTTGTAAGCCTAGCACTCTCGGAGGCCGAAGTGGAAGGATCACTCAAGGTCAGGAGTTCAAGACCAGTTTGAGAAAGAGTGAGACCCGTCTCTACTAAAAGAAAGAAATTAGCTGGACAACTAAAAATAGATAGAAAAAAATTAGCCGGGCATGGTGGTGCATGCCTGTAGTCCCAACTACTCGGGAGGCTGAGGCAGAAGGATCACTTGAGCCCAGGAGTTTGAGGTTGCTGTGAGCTAGGCTGATGCCAGGGCACTCTAGCCCGGGCAACAAAATGAGACTCTGTCTCAAAAAAAATACATATTTGGTCTCTGTCTTGTCTCCTGGCATGCAACTCCTAAAATCCTTGGGATCTCCAAAGGTGTCCTTTTGTGTGCTAATAAGCTGATTGATGGTTAGCCCTTCTAGGTAGCTTCAGGATGGGGGCTGTCACTGGAAAGGCCAAGCCTTGATTATCTCAGCTGCAACCTCTGGGGAGGGGAAAGGGGCTGAAGATTAAGCCAATCACCAATGGCCAAAGATTTAATCAGTCATGCCCAGTACTGAAACTTCCATAAAACCCGGAAAGGACGGGGTTCAGACAGCTTCTGGATAGCTGAATGCATGGAAGTTCCAGAGAGGGCATGGAAATCCCACACCCCTTCCCACATGCCTTGCCCTATGCATCTTTTTGTCTGTACCCTTGGTAATATCCTTTATAATAAACCAGTAAATGTTTCCCTGAGTTCTGTGAGCTACTGTAGCAAATTAATCAAACCCAGGGAAGTAGTTATAGGAACCCAGATTACCTGGGCAGGATCACAGGTAAAACAACCTGGAGCTTACAGTTGGCATCAGATTGCAACTTATAAGAATTCTTATGAGACTGAGTCCTCAATCTGTGGGATCTGAAGCTACTTCCAGGTAGATAGTGTCAGAATTGAATTGGAAGGATACTCAGCTGGTATCTGTTGCAGAATTGATTGGGTGTTGGTGGGGAGAAATTTCTACTCACTTCTTGGTGACCAGAGGTCACAGAAGTATTTTGTGTTGTGAAAATATAGTAGGAAAAAATTGGTTTTTTCCTCTACAGATTGGATGTAGGAAATGAAAAAAAAAAAAAAAAATAAGGATGTGCTGTCTAGGTAACTGGGCAAAAGTGGGAGAGGAACCATTTGGGTGAGGAAAATCAAGAGTTCTTTTCTCCTCTGGTTTCTCTGCCCTTCAATTCAAAAGTAAGGAAACTTCCACAATGAAGGAGGACCATTGGCTCTAGCATCTCCTGATTTTTGTTTCCAAATTCAAGATCTTACACCCACCCGCATGGAACTGGCAGGCCTGCTTCTCCCAGTAGAGGCAAGAGTGACATAAAGTGAAAAGGTCTTGGCCTTCTGTATACCTCAGTTTGAGTCTCACATCTGCCATTTCTTACTCCTTGGCCTTGAGCAAGTTACCACTTTCCAACTGGCAGTTTCCTCATCCCTTAGGTTGAATGTGAGAACTTCCTGGTATGATTGTTGTGAGCATTAACTGATTGAGCATTTACTTCATGCCGTGCAATATTCTAAGTGTATTATGGATATTCACTAGTTTAATCCTCATAACAAATGGATGAGGTAGGTAGTATTCTTTTCACCATCTTACAGATAAGGAAACTGATGTATAGAAGGTTATTGAGTAGCTTGCCCATGGTCGTAAGCCAGTAAATGGAGGAGCTGGATTTCAAATCTGGCATTCTGGCCCCAGAATACTGAGCCTGGGTTCTTAGCTACTAAGCACTTCTTCCTTTAATGTGTGAAAGCGCCTGGCCCATCATGGGCTCTCAGTGTTTGTTCTGACACTGCCTATTTTGTCCTACATTCCTTCCTTACCTTGGAGAATCTAAACATCCAAACGCTGAGTCTTGCCTACAATCTAGGGCCTGGGTCTTCTATTCTCCCCCTTGGCTCCCTTCCCTGCCCTCGTGTTCCTCTTTTGAGCCCTCATAGCAATAGGCACAACTCCTGTGTGTTGTACCTGACCTCTAGCACTGTCTTCTTAGGTGGACATCTTCAATAAGGAGCTACTGCTAATCCCCATCCACCTGGAGGTGCACTGGTCTCTCATCTCTGTTGATGTGAGGCAACGCACCATCACCTATTTTGACTCGCAGCGCACCCTAAACCGCCGCTGCCCTAAGGTTTGAGGGGATAGTGGGGAGATGGGCAACATGTGCCCTTGCCAGTGGCAAGGCATTCCAGGGAAAAGGGTGGGCTTTGGACCTTCGAGGAGCAACCTGAGCATTGTGTCTGCCACCACTGTGCCCTGGGTTCAGTTAGGAAACTTAAGGCATCACTTTTTCTTTTTCCCCATCCACGTAGCATATTGCCAAGTATCTACAGGCAGAGGCTGTGAAGAAAGACCGACTGGATTTCCACCAGGGCTGGAAAGGTTACTTCAAAATGGTGAGTGTCCAGAGGGAGGGGTATAAATTGAAGTCATTTCCCTGGGAGTCTCCAGGTGAAGGGCCTCTGTTCTTTCTCTTCTCTAGAATGTGGCCAGGCAGAATAATGACAGTGACTGTGGTGCCTTTGTGTTGCAGGTAAGCACATGATGAGGCCTCCTCCTCCAGCTCTGGAGTCAGTTGGGTTAAAGGGTTGGGAGGCTGTTCTGCATCCCTCACTTGGCTCACACCTAGTTGTGGAGCAGAGAGTAACCTGTGTTAGAACACAGAAACCCCGATTTCACTGGTCTTCTGTGCTTCTCCATCTCACATTGGGACTGGGTTTCCGATTGTTGGTCTCTGGCACTGATATAGCTGCCTCCTAACACTCAATGTATTTTCTCCCTCTAAAACTCTAGGTCTATCATATATCAAGTAAGAATGCTAGCTTTAGAGTCAGGCTGTTTTTGAACCCCAGACTATGGGGACCCTGGCTCCCTTTGTATGTGAAATAGGTATATTCTCTGAAAGATTAAGTGAGCTATATCTCTTATGTAATGTCCTAACCTTGGGGTGGGGAGTGCTCAGTAGGTGGTTCTCATGGCCTGCCTTGTTAACACCCAGTACTGCAAGCACCTGGCCCTGTCTCAGCCATTCAGCTTCACCCAGCAGGACATGCCCAAACTTCGTCGGCAGATCTACAAGGAGCTGTGTCACTGCAAACTCACTGTGTGAGCCTCGTACCCCAGACCCCAAGCCCATTAATGGGCAGGGGGACATGTGCGACCGACCCTTCCTGAGAAACTCCAGTTCCTTTTCTCTTGTCTCTCCCTACCCAATTCCCTTTGGTTTTTCATATTTAAATGTTTTGGTTTCTGTATTTTTTTTTCTTTGAGAAAATACTTGTTGATTTCTGATGGGCAAGAGGTGGCTACAGTAAAGCCCCTTTCTCCCTCTGACTTGCAGGGGAGTGTGGCCTTGTGGCCTGGGTGGGGCAGTCATCCCCCTTCCATTTGCCAGGGGCAGGAAATCAGTGCTGGGGGTGGTGGGCGGGCAACGGGATAACTGCCTGCCAGATCTTCAAACATTTTTTTATATATATATATAAATGCCACGGTCCTGCTCTCGTCAATAAAGGATCCTTTGGAGATACATAAATGGTGGTCTTCCTTAAGGGGCCTCAAACTAGTGTTTATGTTTATCTCAGGCCTTCTTCCAGCCAGTGCTTGTGTAGCTGACCTGTTCTTGGTCTTGAGACTTCAGGGGCCAGCTTTGTATCGCTGGCTCAGGCAAAGTCAACACCATGTCTCATCACCAGACAAATCCCCCAGCCAAGGGAGCAGAGGGCAGGAAGCCTCAAAATTAAGAGACCGTGAGAGGGAAGCTGGGGAACTGAAGGGACTGGGGAGGGGGCCAGCTAGGATTCATGACAGCTATCCCAAATGTTCGTAGGCCCATAAGTCGTTTTTTCCACTCGTCCCTCCAGCCACGGGAATCCTTCCAGTCCTTAGGATATGGTCTTGATTCCTTCATCCCTGGCATACTTAGAACACATCCAGGCAGTGTTCCATCTCTTTCTGCGGAAGGGGAGAACGTTAAATTTGGGTCCCGGGAAACTTAGGGCAGACGTAAAGGGAAATGGTAGTCCCAGAAGCCCGGAAGTCCCTGGAGGCTGAGGCCTCGCCCCCCTCGCGTGATAGGGCCTACTAAGCCACATGACTAAGGCACTATCTCCTCCGCACGTGTAAGGGTACAGGGCCCCAAAATGGCTGCCAGGCCGCGAGGCCTGACTCCTATATGTCACTTCCGCACCGGCGAGAAAGGCGGGCCCTCTAGCCAATCAGGCTGTAGGGCGGGTCTTCACCTTGATAGGCGCTCAAGTTATCCAATGGTGGCCTCGTGCCTGAGCGCCTACGAACTAACGTCATGCGCAGTTGCTGAGCGCCGGCAGGCGGGGCCGAGGCGGGCAAGCCAATGCGATGGCTGGGGCGGGGTCGGGTGCTCTATAAGTTGTCGATAGGCGGGCACTCCGCCCTAGTTTCTAAGGATCATGTCTGCGAGTCAGGATTCCCGGTAAGAAAGGCATTTGCAGGAGGTTGTGCCTACTTACCGTGCCGCTCCCTTCCGAGGGGCCCGCCGGGGGGGGGTTGCTGAGAGGCCCACCCTGGTTGCGGGGGAAACCAAGCCGGAGGAACGGTCCTGGGGGAGTGTGGGGGGAGGTCCATGGTCAGTGCTGCCACCAGGGCCGAGGCGGAGGGCGAGGATAGCCCCGGTAGGGCCGAGTGTGCGAGGTTCGTTACGAGGGTTCGGCCTATGGCGGTGCCGTGCGAGAAGTCCCGGCGCTGAGTGGTGAAACGAGGTCGCGACTTAGCGTGGGAAAGAAAGGCAGAGACCGCCGCAACTAGGTGGCCCAGAGCCGGCAGGCAGGTCCGGTTGCCTCGCTGTGTTGGGGGGAGGCCTCGCGCTGGGGACTGCGAAGGATTCTGACGGTACCACTCAGGAGAGGCGGGGGTGGCTGGGTGTTAAGATCCAGTCGCTTCGTCGCGGTTGAAATATGGGTCGGGGGAAAAGAAACCGGCCGTTCAGTGTGCTGGTTTTCTTGACGGCCAGGACTGAGCCTAACCCCGAGGAGCAGCCGCGTGAGGCACCAGGAGCCCACCCGGCGCCGGGCGGGCAGGTCCATTTTGCCGCACAAGCCGGGCAATTGGCAAACTGCGGATGGGCAGGTCCACTTTGCTTCGGGGGTGAGCGGCCAGAGGTATGGGAGGGCGACGCCATTTCGCGACGGGGGCGGGCGGGATGTGGATTGTTCCATGGAGGTGGGGGGGCACGCTGCCGGGTGGTCGAGGGAGCGAGCACATGGCCGTCTGAGGTTTTCCCCTCCCCCAGTCTGCTTCGCTTCTAAGTGTTGTGCAATGTCCCCCTTTGCTAGCTCGGCTGGGGCTCATTGTGCGCGAGGCCGCCACCGCCCGCGGCCTCCCACATCCGGGCACCGTGAGGGGGGGAGATCGGCTGTAGGGGTGGGGGAGGGCGCGGGCGGGATGACGTGGGGGGAAGGGGATGTCCTACCCTCGGATCTGGGAGGTGAAGGGCGGGACTTCCGGCGCCCGGGTGCTGCGATGGGAGGTGCACGCGCTTGGGCTTTGAGCGGCCAGGCCCAGGACACGTGGGCCCGGTAGCCGGCACCACATCCGGGCACTGAGCGTGGCGGCAAGCCCTCCAGCCTTTGGGTCTTTAGGGAAGGGTTATCCCATCATTTCCATGGCGGCCTGGCCTGAGCTGCTGCAGGGATGGAACAAAGACTTGGTTCAGCTTTTTAAAGTAATTTACCTGGATGTGTTTTGAGAATTGGTGGGGGTAGAATCTGGGAGTGAAGGTTGATGACATCATGCAGGGCCAGTTGTTGACAGAAAGAGTCTGGCTGTCGGGATTTGAGTGCTTCCTTTGGGCAGGAGACAAACCTCATGCTTTAAACCAACAGATCCAGAGACAATGGCCCTGATGGGATGGAGCCTGAAGGCGTCATCGAGGTGAGACTGACCCCCTACCACCAATGCCCTTCATCTCTGAGAAATGCAGTGCTACTGTGACCCCAGGTTTCTGGAGTTGTTCCATGATTTAAGTATAACAGAAGGTTCATCTTAAATGCACACTATCTGGCGCTAGTAAAGGCCCCTTCTGTGAGCATCTAACCTTTACAGTGGTTTGTTGGAAATCTTATTTATGTTCCTGAGGATGTCTGTAAAACATGACATTCAAATTGAGTCCTGTTCTCCTCTCCTACAACCCCCAGCCTCATAATAGTGTGAAGTTAAGTAGACTGGCCTCTTAGAATGACTTCCCAGACCATCTGTAAGCAGCTGGCTTCACTAAAGGGATGGGGGCTTTTGGGTGTTGAAGGTTTGGTGTAGGCACCAGATCCTACTTGCTACAGTACTAGAGTCCAGCCCACCTCTAACACCACTCTTAATTTCCTTGCGTCCTACAGAGTAACTGGAATGAGATTGTTGACAGCTTTGATGACATGAACCTCTCGGAGTCCCTCCTCCGTGGTATCTACGCCTATGGCTTTGAGAAGCCCTCTGCCATCCAGCAGCGAGCCATTCTTCCTTGTATCAAGGGTGAGACCTTTCAGCCCCAGAACAGATTCTGGACTGTCCCAGCACTGGGTAGAGTGGCATCTGGTTAGTGGTGCCCATCTCATATCAGCCAGGGACAAAGCAACCCCTTGTTTATCCCAGCTTGGCTTCTGGTCTGTGCCTATGCCTGGTTCATGCCTTGGTCACATGAATTGCTGGTTTTCCTTTAATGAGTAGTATGGTAGCTGGCTTGTGCTTCGTTTTATAGCTTTATTTCTGTCCCAACTTGGCATAATACTGATGAGTTAATAACATGTTTTTATTTTCTGATTTGTTTCCATTGTGGTGATTGGTGAAATAAAGTTTCTGAAGCATGTTAAATCTGTTGGTTTCTTATGAATGTTGGTTTCTTATAAATATCACTAAGGCTTGAATGTCCCATGAGCCCACAGTATACATGCTGTATCCCATTTAACTTCTGTTTATCTGTTTAGGTTATGATGTGATCGCTCAAGCCCAATCTGGGACTGGGAAAACGGCCACATTTGCTATATCGATTCTGCAGCAGATTGAGTTGGATCTAAAGGCCACCCAGGCCTTGGTCCTAGCACCCACTCGAGAATTGGCTCAGCAGGTAAGAATGTGGTTTTTCCCTCCTGAAGGGCTGATTTGGGGATGATAAACAACCAAAAGTCAGGGAAGTCAACTACTCCCACCTTGGAGGAAGAAGAGATAGATGCTCCTTAATAAAGGAAATGAGTTGATGACTTTTAGCTCTTGATTTCTAGACTTGTTGGGTTAATTATAAGCCATTTCTTACCCAAACATAGCCACCACTTCACCCATTTCCTGCATCAAATGGGAAGGCTGTTGGGTGGAGCCTGGCCGGCTGGGCGAGTTTGGTGGCTGCTTTATGAACATACCCCCTGGCAATGGGCAAAGAGACACCTCATTGGTGGTGGTGCTCTTATATCAGTCAGGGGCAGAGCAGACTGACAGTCCTTTGTTCATCCTAGCTTGATGCCTGGGTTGGTGGCCAGAGCTGTTTCATGCCTGGGGCACATAAAATTCTAATGCTGGACTCCCATTTTCTTTGAGTCTTAGAGGGGAAAGAATCACAAACACTAGTTTCATAAATACTGAGGCTCAGGTAATATTTTTAAATGTTTAGCAGCTGTAATGATTATTCTGTAAACAGGTAATGTAAGCAAGAAGTAAAATAACCAAAGCATGCCTTTTTGAGAGTGGACATTGATACCTAGCTTGGGTTCTGTGGCAGGGGTGCAATAGGATGTGCGTATGTGTCATCCAGTTCATAAAACTGGTTGCTGGGAAATGAAATAAAAGATCACAACTGGCTTTCAGTAAAGTTAAGGATTCTATCTAGAATGGGAAACTATTAAAATTATTTTAGGGAGGCATTGTGAATCAGTGTACACTGGGAAACCAGACTGGGTTTGAGTCCTGTCTTTGCTATTTATTGGCAGAATGATCATAAGTGGGTTATTTAAGCTTTGCCTGTTTCTCACCGGGAAAATAAGTTTAGTAATAATGCATATCTCAAGATAGTTGAAAACAAATATATAAGAAGCATTAAAAACTGGGGCCTGGACAGTTCTAGCTGGCATGTGAACACCTATCTTTTCTGGGCTCAGATACAAAAGGTGGTCATGGCATTAGGAGACTACATGGGTGCCTCCTGTCATGCCTGTATTGGGGGCACCAATGTGCGTGCTGAGGTGCAGAAACTGCAGATGGAAGCGCCCCATATCATCGTGGGCACCCCTGGCCGAGTGTTTGACATGCTTAACCGGAGATACCTATGTAAGTAACTTAATTTTCCAGCCCTCCGGGTCACACTTTCCTGTGCATGCTTTCCTAGTCTTGTAGCTTAAGCCAATGCCATTCCCAAGGATGCTAGTTTCCCCTTTAGTGAAAGTTGCTCTGTGATGAACCCCATGCGTGTCATCTGAGCCTGGCTTCCCTGCCATCTCAGCCCAGGGTAGTGTTCTACTTCCCAGGGCTGTTGTCTGGCTTGGCAGGGAGGTCCTGGGCAAAGGATCAGTCTCTGTATTCTGAGAGCAGACCACCTGTACCCTCTATTCTTTACCAGCAAAGAATACATTTAACATTTCCCTTATTACTATATACGTTGGTATTTTTTTTCTAATCTAGCTCCCAAATACATCAAGATGTTTGTTCTGGATGAAGCTGATGAAATGTTAAGCCGTGGATTCAAGGACCAGATCTATGACATATTCCAAAAGCTTAACAGCAACACCCAGGTGAGAAAGACAGCATTTTATTATATATAGCAATGGTTTTAGATGATGGTATAGTTGGGGCAAAGAACAGTAAAAAGTACCAGAGGAACCATACAGAATTCTAGATTCTCATCCTCCCCTTAAACTTTATTCTGCATCCACTTTGGTTTTAGGTGTACAAGGGAAGGGAGGGGGGGGCGGCAGGCACCAACGAAGTATCCACCACCCTAAAGCTGATTTTTTTCCATTAGGTAGTTTTGCTGTCAGCTACAATGCCTTCTGATGTGCTTGAGGTGACCAAGAAGTTCATGAGGGACCCCATCCGGATTCTTGTCAAGAAGGAAGAGTTGACCCTGGAGGGTATCCGCCAATTCTACATCAATGTGGAGCGAGAGGTGGGGCCCAGTGCAGGAGGCGGGCCTGGCAGTAAGTTGTTGGGTATAGCCCCTGACTGATTCTCTCCCCCCCACCTCCAGGAGTGGAAGCTGGACACACTGTGTGACTTGTATGAAACCCTGACCATCACCCAGGCAGTCATCTTCATCAACACCCGAAGGAAGGTCGATTGGCTCACTGAGAAGATGCACGCCCGAGATTTCACTGTTTCTGCCATGGTGAATTTTCTTCCTTGTTAGCAGTTTACTGTGTATCTGTCAGAGTCCTGTCTGAGGCCAGTTTTGCTGGTGCTCATTTGCCTACCTGCTACACGCTTCTCTCTTTTCTAGCATGGAGATATGGACCAAAAAGAACGAGATGTGATCATGAGGGAGTTCCGTTCTGGCTCTAGCCGAGTATTGATTACCACTGACCTGCTGGTGAGTAGAGGCGAATTTAGAGCAAACAGGAAAGAAGGGAGAATCCAAGGTGATTCCCTCTCCGAGGGGCCAGCTAGTGCCCGCCTCAGGAAAGTAGCAACTTGGAATAAAATCAGGCATGCCTAAGGTCTCTTTGGGGGACAGAGGATGCTTGTTTCCTTTGCCTTCCCTTGGCTGCCTACATGTATACCCTAAGTCCCTTGGGGTAGATTTTGTCCTCTTATTCACGTGCTGATGTTGTTGTCTTTCTTGCCATAGGCCAGAGGCATTGATGTGCAGCAGGTTTCTTTAGTCATCAACTATGACCTTCCTACCAACAGGGAAAACTATATTCACAGGTAAGCGTAGATCAGGAACATGTGCTTGTCAACCTCTGGCTGAAGCTCTTGGTGTTCCTCATCCTCATCCCCTTATCCTGTTTTTCAGAATTGGTCGTGGTGGACGGTTTGGCCGTAAGGGTGTGGCTATTAACATGGTGACAGAAGAAGACAAGAGGACTCTTCGAGACATTGAGACCTTCTACAACACCTCCATTGAGGAGATGCCCCTCAATGTTGCTGACCTCATCTGAGAGAGGCTGTCCTGCTACCTAGCCCCAGCCAGGGTTCAATCTTGGGGGGCTGAGGAGCAGCAGGAGGGGGGAGGGAAGGGAGCCAAGGGATGGACATCTTGTCATTTTTTTTTTTCTTTGAATAAATGTCACTTTTTGAGGCAAAAGAAGGAACCGTGAACATTTTAGACACCCTTTTCTTTGGGGTAGGCTCTTGCCCCAGGCGCCGTCTCTGCTCCCAAAAAACACTAATCCATTTCCCTAACCTAGTCACCTCCAGATCTCAGAGGCTCTCCCTGCCCCAGCCAGATTCCTTTGAAAATGATTCAAGGGGCCATATATGTCAACCTCATTTGCTGGACCAAATCTGGAGGCAAAACCCCTGAAACCCCCAAGTGAGGTCCAGGGGATTGTCCCCAGGTGGAGGGAGCAGGGGAGAGAAAATGGTAGCCATTTTTACATTGTTTTGTATAGTATTTATTGATTCAGGAAACAAACACAAAATTCTGAATAAAATGACTTGGAAACTGCCTGTTTGGGCTTCTCATTTCTTAACCTCCCCTTCCCTCTCCCACCTGCTACTGGGTACATGTCAGCTCCCCTTCACGAGGTAGTATCTTGGCTATGTTGCGTCTTTCTGAATATCATCTAAGTTACAGATGATCCCTTTCCTCAGTTCCCCGGACCTGCAGCCCTGAGAAAAGTAAACAGAATGACCCCCTGGGGGGGGTTGGGTGTGCACTGTCATAAGTGCCTCACGTGCTTGGGCTAAGAGGAAGTGATGGGTGGGAGAGTCAAGGGGAATGGAAGCAGAGATTGACTTTCTAAATCCTGCTGAGCTCACTTCCTGGGAGGCCACTGAGGGAGGGGCTTCCTGGTTCTCAGCAGGCCTTAACGACTGCCTGCCACAGCTGCTGAGCAAGTTCTGCTGAGACAGACAAATGAGTCCCCATGGGTCAACTGCCCCAGAACTCTCCATCTCATTCTGTGTCCACGTGATATTCTTGACTTTGCCCTGAGTGATAGTTCCCGCTTATAAAGCTGGGGCCAATAGTCCCTCACTTAATTACAAAGATGAATGACTAAGAGGTTGGTGGCTGGAGCTGAGGTGCCTGAGTCAGGTTGGGGGTGGGAATGTTCAGTAACAGGAAGTAAAAGTCTTTCGTTTCCTCGTTTCTGAGAGAGAAGGCTGAGGGAAAATAAGGTTGAGCAACTGGTCCTCACAGCCTAGCTGGACTTTGGGTGAGGCGGTCCTGCCATGAGGCTGGCTGTGATTTTCTCCGGGGCCTTGCTGGGGCTACTAGCAGGTAAGGAGAAAGGGGGCTGGAGAGAGGGAGCCTCTGGGAAGGAGCCTGCCCCTGGGTTACTTACTAACCAGTCTCTTTCCCCTCTGTCAAAAGCCCAGGGGACAGGGAATGATCATCCTCATAAAAAATCAGCCACTCTGCTTCCATCCTTCACGGTGACACCGACAGCTACAGAAAGCACTACAAGCCCTGGAACAACCAGCCACAGGACTACCAAGAGCCACAAAACGACCACTCACAGAACTACCACCACAGGCACCACCCAGGGACCAACAACTGCCACTCACAATCCTGCCACCACCACCAGTCATGGAAATGTTACAGTTTATCCCACAAGCAACAGCACTGCTACCAGCCAGGGACCCTCAACTGCCACTCACAATCCTGCCACCACCACCACTGGTCATGGAAATGCCACAGTTCATCCCACAAGTAACAGCACTTCCACCAGCCCAGGACTGTCCACCAGTTCCCCTCAACCAGGACCACCACCACCCCCTCCAAGCCCTAGCCCAGGCTCCCAGGAGGCTATTGGAAACTACACGTGGACTAACGGTTCCCAGCCCTGTGTCCAGCTCCATGCTCAGATTCAGATTCGAGTCCTGTACCCAACTCAGAGTGGAACAGAGGTAAAGCTAAATCATAGCAGGGGACATGAGGGGAAGAAAGGGACCTGCTATGGTTTAAAGGGAGGAAGAGCAGTGGCCCTGTAGTCTCGTGATCTTCTATCTTTAACTTCCGCAGGCCTGGGGCATCTCTGTACTGAACCCCAACAAAACCAAGGCCAAGGGGGCCTGTGAGGGTCCTAACCCCCACCTGCTTCTCTCATTCCCCTATGGACAGCTCAGCTTTGGATTCCAGCAGGTATAGATCAGAAACTTCACCCTCATCCCTCACGTGGCCTCCCAGTGCGCCCCATCCCTATAATCCTCACTGCACTCTCCCTGCTGCCCCGAGCCTTTCTGTTCCCCCAGGACCCGCAGCAGAACACTGTCTACCTGAGCTACATGGCTGTGGAGTACAATGTGTCCTTCCCCAAGGCAGCACGTGAGTAACCTTCCTCTTTGCTAACACTAGATGCTGGGGCTCCTGATGGGACTACGCTGGGATGGGAAGGTGGACAGGACCTGACCCTTCCTCACTCCTTCAGAGTGGACATTCTCAGCTCAGAATTCATCCCTTCGAGATCTCCAAGCACCCCTGGGCTGGAGCTTCAGTTGCAGAAACTCGAGCATCATGCTTTCACCAGCCTTCCACCTCGACCTGCTCTCCCTGAGGCTACAGGCTGCTCAGCTGCCCCACACAGGGGTCTTTGGGCCAAGTAAGACCTACCTCCTCTTTCCCTCCCACAATTCTCCCACTGCACTGAAATCCCCTTCCCCAGACCTATAAGCCAATCATCCAGTCATCTCCCTTCTTAAGCCCCTGAATTTCCTCTCTCTCAGGCTTGTCATGCCTAGAGGGCAATGTCCCCTACTCTGCAGGCCTCTACTCATTTCCCCCTTTTACTTACTGCTGAGTCTTCATGGTGAGCTTCTCACCAGTCTCCCACTACCCAATGTCCCCCACATCCTTCCTTCCTCCTGCCTTTATCCCAGCCACCATGTTGCAATGCCCACTTGCCCTGTCCTTCTGCCAGGTTTCTCTTGCCCCAGCGACCGATCCATCCTGCTGCCTCTTATCATCGGCCTGATCCTCCTCGGCCTCCTCGCCCTGGTGCTTGTTGCCTTCTGCATTGTCCGGAGACGCCCACCCACCTATCAACCTCTCTGAGCATCTGCCCCAGCCCCCAGGGCACCCTCATTTCCTCACCGGGCAAGTGACTCACAAAGTCATCTTCCTTCCTTTTCATTCTTGAAGAACAAAAAATGGAGATAATGCAATTGGGAGGGAGGAGGGGAGAGATTTTTATTAAATGTGAGATTCCCCCTCTCCCATTCCCAAGCAGGAGAGTAGTGAAACCTACTCAAATATTTGTCTTTGGTTTCCCTTGTCCCATCAGGATTAAAAGCCATGAGTTTCTTGTCAAATGCCTTTCTGTGCCTTCCATGGTCTAGTCTCAAGGAGCCAGAAACAACTGGTAGAGAAGGAGAAAAATGTCTATATGTGACCAAATGCCCTCATAGGTTCACCCCCAGAGCCTGGCACAGCTGGTGTTGTGTCTGCCACTCTGTCCCTTCCTCCCTCTTTTTCTGGGACTATTGGCTGCTCCAGTTCCCTCTCCAGTAAGCCATGGAGCCATCCATCCCAGAAGTCTCCTCACACACAGTTACAGGTGCAACAGCCAAAGCAATGAGTGGGTGGCTGTGGAATTTCATTTCCAGAGGCACCACCAAGGGGCTCCTGAGTAGTGATAATGTCCCGCCCTGTCCAACATGTCCAGCGCTAGCTGAAAAGCCTGATTAAACCCTTGCTGCACATGGGATACTCCTAGCCCCCTGCGACGGGCTGCATCAACCACAGGGCCATTAGGTACTCCGACCTGCACACTCAAGTACCCTCTGTGCTCCTGGGAACAGCATGTCCCCTACCTTGGGTCACCCACCCAACCAACCCTGATCTCGTGTCAATTTGAGAAACGGCCTCCTACATGGCCATAAGTCTGTACCACTACTGAGTGCCAGTCCCTTTCTTTACAGCAGGCTGTGGTGCAATCGCTGGGGGCTAGGATAAGCAGTAGGTCTCAGAAAGCCTGGAGACGCACCCCACTAGGGCAGCCCCACCGCCACCCAAAGGCTGCTAGACAGTGGGATGGCGCAACCTGGGTTGGCGTCGCGGTGCTGGGCGGCGTGCAGCACTGAGTAATGGAAGGTGCCCTCTCCCAAGCAGAGCTGCTGGGCCCACTCAGCCTCACTTTAAGTCCTTGCTCAGCACGTGGTGTGCCCTCGGGCAGCGGAGTGGGGGAGAACCCAGGGCTGCCACACCAGGCCAAAGCCAAGCGATGCCCCCCTCTGGGCTTCACGGAGACTGCAGATCTGCGCCCCAAGTGGTGCGTCATCAGGGGCTGCCTCCTCTCCAGCTGGGCTCGCCTCCCCCACCTCCTCTGCTTCACTGTCCCGGGCCCAGTAGTTGCTGGTGCACCCATCTTCCAAGGTGGGGGCACGCAGCCCAGTACCTAAGGAGAGCCGCCCAGTGCATACTGTCCTGCTCCCGCCGGCGCTGTTGCCTCTGAAGACGCTGAAAGAACGGGAGAAAAAGAGATACAAGCGCCCCTACTCAACGCTATTTTGAAGAATAACCCTCCTTCTCTCTTCGAACAATATAAAGTTGGCTGAGAGAAGGCAAGATGGCGCCTAGCAGGAAGAGTGGAAAAGGGCAGGGGGATAAACCTCGCTTCTGAACTGGAAGCGTAAACAAAGGCGCGGAAGGTCTAACAGCGCAGGCGTACAGCTTTACAATGAGAACAACAAAGTGCTTCCAACGTGGTCTCTGAATGAGACCTATTTTACGTTATGGAAACTGGGGGGGCGGAAGAAAGGGAGAATAGGAGGCGGTCCAACTTCGTCACGGGAAAAGAATAAGAGGCGGAGTGTCTGGGGCGCGCACGCGCAGTGTAAGGCAATGGCGCTCTGTAGAGACTGGCGGAAGCTAGGTTTGCAATATGGCGGCCGAGGCAGACGGACTGCTCAAACGGGCGCTGGTGCCGATTCTTTTACCTGAGAAATGCTATGACCAACTTTTCGTCCAGTGGGACTTGCTTCACGGTGAGTTTTATTCAGCATCGGATCCAAGTCCTGCGCGAACCCTAAGTCCAAGGCGTGACTGCCGACTAAATGACAGCGGTGACTTCTGCCATGCCGAGCTGGGCGGAAGTCACTTCTGAGAGGGGCGGAAGTGTCTCTCCATAAAGGGAGGACGCCATATTTGGGCAAGAGGGGAAGTCTGAATACTTTGTGAAGTTTGGGCTTATCGACAATGAAAAACGAGAAGACTCAGATTTTACAAAACAAAATAAAAACCAGGTCAAATCATTTCAACCTTTATTAGATCGCTAGCAGGGTTAAGTTTAATTCAAAGCCCCTGGTGAATCAGGCCCTCATCTGCACCCCCAAGGGCTCTTGCCACACTGATTGCTTTCTTTCCAGCCTCCACGTTTCCTCATCATCTAATTTTGGAATAATTTACCTTCCTTCCTCATTGTATTTGCGAAGCAACTCTACAGCAATGTCCACCTCAGACATCAGACCCTTTGGAAAGCCTTCTTGGTCTGCCCCTCTCAGTTCATGGTACCTCCCCTGAGCTGATGGGGCACTTTTTAGGCACATTCATGATCCGTGAAAGTCTGACTTCCACTGGGCCAAGCTTCTTGAGCGGAAGGCTTCAAGGGTAGAGAAGTTGTGTGTGGCCAGGGCATAAGAGTTAGTCCTGGAAGGGTAAAGTCCCTGAGTAGGGTAGCAGGGACAATCTGAGGGTTCAGAATCATTGGTATGGAGGTCTGTCTTTGGAGAGAGAAGACAGGTGAAGTGGGCTACCCAGAGGAGGGAAACAAAGGGTCAGGAGTCTTGGGCATTGCTCAGCTTTATAGAGAGAAGTAAAGAGTTCAGATGTTAATTTGTAGGAAATGGAAGATTGGGTGGGAGGGAAGACATTGTGCTAAAAGCTATTTTAGAAAGTAACCTAATCTGAATGTGAGATGGTCTGGAGCAGGAAGGACCAGGCATTTTGTCCCTCCCCCCCAGACAACACAAGACTTCCTTCCTGGGTTGGGGAGGTGAAAAGGTGGGGACAGTCCATAGGAGCACTTCAAGCCCTGGTCTGGATTTCAGAGGAATCCTCTCTGCTTAACCCTTTTTCTTTTCTCAGTCCCCTGCCTCAAGATTCTCCTCAGCAAAGGCCTGGGGCTGGGCATTGTGGCTGGGTCACTTCTAGGTATGTATCTTTCCTTCCTGCTCTTGGGATGAGTGGGGGAGATGCTGAGAGGCCATGAAGAATATGGGTCCCTTAACTGAAAGTGGGGTTAACATGCTTCCCAGTCCCTTCTGTAGCTGTTGTTGCACCCCTAAGGAATGGAGGCTCCTCAACCCTGCCCTTCTCATCCTTTCCCCAGTAAAGCTGCCCCAGGTGTTTAAAATCCTGGGAGCCAAGAGTGCCGAAGGGCTGAGTCTCCAGTCAGTAATGCTGGAGTTAGTGGCATTGACTGGGACCATGGTCTACAGCATCACCAACAACTTCCCATTCAGGTGAGGGGCCTACCCTTCATCCCCAAGTGCATGTGCCCACAACTCTAATGGGGGTTAAAGTGAGGGGGGTAAAGGGGCAGGAAAGCTTAAGCCTTTTAAGAAATCTAATTGTCACCATTGGAGGTGATGAGGAGGTGAGCATCTCAAGAATGCCCAGGATCCAGAATGAGTGGGGCTATGGAGGACACAGAGAATTGTGTCCCCGGGTAGATGGGCTATGGAGGCTTTCGCTGGCTCTTCCCAGGCCCACCTTTATTCCTTCCAACTCTTGACTCTTCAGCTCTTGGGGTGAAGCCCTGTTCCTGATGTTCCAGACAATCACCATCTGCTTCCTGGTCATGCACTACAGAGGACAGACTGTAAAAGGTGCACTTTACCTAAGAGTGAGCAGGCTGTGCTGGCTCCTGGGAACCCACTGGGAACTTAGGCCTGGGGAAGCTGGCGAACATTGAGAGGTTGATGAGGACTCTTTGTCTCCCCAACCGACAGGTGTTGCTTTCCTAGCCTGCTACGCCCTGGTCCTGCTGGTGCTGCTTTCACCTCTGACACCCTTGGCTGTAGTCACTCTGCTGCAGGCCTCCAACGTGCCTGCTGTGGTGGTGGGGAGGGTAGGTACCAGGAGCAAGGGGAAGGATGTTTGGAGGGAGGGAGGGTGCAGAGGCAGAGAAGAAGGCCAAAGTGTGGGGGTGTTGGACTAAGAAGAATTGGGGGTTATCAGTGATGGAAGCATGGGAAGAATTCAGATGACAGAACCAAAAGTCTCAACTTCTCCCCTAGCTGCTCCAGGCAGCCACCAACTACCGCAATGGGCACACAGGTCAGCTCTCAGCCATCACAGTCTTCCTGTTGTTTGGGGGCTCCCTGGCCCGAATCTTCACTTCCATTCAGGTGAGAGCAACTTCTTCCCTCTCGAAGGCACTAAAATCTCATCTTACCTTTCCAGCTAAGAGCTAAAGCTGCCCCTCTCTGGAAACTTTCTTGGACTATGCTGAAGGGTGACCCTGGCTCTGTCTCTTACAACCAGGAAACTGGAGACCCACTCCTGGCTGGAACCTTTGTGGTTTCCTCCCTCTGTAATGGCCTCATCGCTGCCCAGCTCCTCTTCTACTGGAATGCAAAGCCTGCCCACAAGCAGAAAAAGGTGCAGTAGGGCTGAGCCAGCTACTGGAGTCATTCCGTGTTTCCATTTGCCCATCCAACCTCAGGGTCCTCCCCATCTGAGCCAGTCTGCTGGTGTGACGTAATCATCCTCCATTCCTCTGCAATTGCAACTTGAGCCAGGGTTTGCTTTTAATGAAAATGGACAGTTGGTGGACCTAGATCCTTAGAAAAGGAGAGAACAGGGGTGGAGTCTTTTAAACTGTCTTTCTGACATTGGAGTGCTTTTCTAAGTCCTGGACCTGTACTATTAATCATTTGGCTGAGACTCCTTTAGCAGCAATTTCCAGCTGTTTAACACTATTCTAGACAAATGTCTTACCCTGTCCTCCCATCTCCCCACTCCCCTTCTGTCCCTGGAGGACAAAGCATGGACTGTGGAATAGAGGAACTAGGGGCTGTGGCTGCCTCCCTCCCCAGCCTGGCTGAAACTGTCTCCTGGACTCCAGTGCTGGGGGCGGGGAATGACTCAGGCAGGGCCCCAGGGTGGGGTGAGGAGGTTCTTGCTCTGGCAGGTCCAGGCGGAAGGGAGTGGAGACAGGACTAGTTCCTGCTGCAGTTGTACTGAGGGGGAACAGTGATGGGACAATAAAGACTCAAGAGACATGATTTAGTCATACAAAACTGTGTTTAGTCCTACAAAAAAATATATATAAGTGTGTGTTCTCTCTGGTTCTCATGGGAAGACTGCAGGCCGCTTCTGAACTGTAGCTTGCAGCCTGTGAGTAGGGGATGGTTCTGAGTGAAAAGGAGAATGTGAGGCCCTTACTGGGAGGTCCATGTCCATAAGGGTTAGAGGTGGGTTAGGGGCATGGGGGTACCAGAGAGGGGAGGATTGTAAGTATTGGGAGAGCCTGGGGACAGGTAAGGGCTATAGGGGGGGAGCAGCTCCCCCTGGAGCCTAGGGTCACTCTGAGGGAGGGAGCATGATGAAGGGGCCTCCGGTTTACAGTGGGAAGAGCTGCAGAGAGAGAAACATGGAGTTAGAAGGGTGCTTCCTTGGGTTCAGGTGCAGCTCCCAAGTGGGGGACGAGTCTGACCAGTTCTGGACAGACAGGGGTAGAACTTGCCTCCCACCCAGAGCTGGCTGTAAGGGCCACTAGGTACAGCAGACATGGAACCAGACCCAAGAATGGCGTAGACTCTTAAGAGTGTGTGTGGCCCTGTTGGGGCACGCTTATTTGCGTGCTGTGCAGCTGTTTTTCTGGGGCAACAGGCTAGGAAGGGGCAGAATGGGCTTGGCCTCTCCTTGCCCCAGAGGCTGGAAAAGGAAGTCTGGTCACACATAGGCCAAAAGCAAGGGGAGGGGAAATGGAGCGTCCAAGTAGCCTGAACACAGTTATGTCCAGGGGTCTGTTATCTGTCCCTGCAGGGTCGCCACCTCGAGGTTGAGATGGAAACGCCTCCTGGGAAAACCTTTACCCACTCCACCCTACACAAAGCCCTGGGGGTACGAGGGAAGGTGCCCACCAAGCCTCAGCCAGAGCAGCCTCAGCTTGGATAGGCTCAGGTCCCCCTCAAGCCAGGCCCTGGGGCATCGCCCCACCCAGGTTCTAGTAGAGAGGCAGAGCATCTCCTTCCTCACCCCGTCCCAGGCACTCACCTGTAGCTGCCGGGCAGGTAGGCTGTCGGGTAGTTGGGAGGTCTGTACCCAAAGCCTCTGCTTGTTTGGGTGGTCGCGTACCCTGGCCCCCAGAGAGGGCCGACGCCAGCCAGGCTGCCTCTTCCCTGGCTGAAGTGGGGAGCTCCAGCGCCCGAGCTCTTGGCCTTGCGCCGAGGCCGGTACTTGTAGTCGGGGTAGTCGCGCAGGTGCCGTGCGCGGAGCCGCTTGGCCTCCTCCACGAAGGGCCGCTTCTCGTCCTCGCCCAGCAACTTCCACTGCGCGCCCAGACGCTTGGAGATCTCCGAGTTGTGCATCTTTGGGTTCTGCTGCGCCATCTGGCGGCGCTGGGCGGAGCTCCACACCATGAACGCGTTCATGGGCCGCTTCACCTTCTCCGGGGGGAGTCCCCCAGGGACCACGGGGCTCCCAGCGCCCTCTCGCTCCTGGGATCCCGAAGATGAGGAGGCAGCAGCCATGGGAGCCAGAGGCTCCAGGCTCCAGGCCTGGTCCTGGGAGGAGCTGGGTAGCTCCATGGGTTGGAGGAAGCTTTAAGAGGGCGTCCTGAATGCCCTCCCCTCAAAATGAGGCGTCGACCCTGAAAATTCAAGTGTCTTCCCAGTCTGGAGTCCTTACGGAGGAATTCAAGTCCTTAAAAAGTATATATCATCCCCAAGTCCAGACCTTGAAATGGAGCCTTTGCTCCCAACCAATTCGACAGTTTGGAGACAAATGTAAAATCCGCTGCGTCCGATACCCGTACTGGAGAGGTGCTCTCCTTTCGTCCTTGCCTCGAGTTCTGACTGAGAGACCACCGTCCCTCTCCCCCTCCCCACAGGTGCCACCAAACCGACCTTCAGTGGAGGACTAAACCATAAATCTTCCTTTTGTCCTCTCCAGAGTCCCTGGACCTCTCCCACCTGGGCTCAGCGTCTGTGGCTGGCAGGCCAGACCCGGGAACAGCTTTTAAAGGCTGACTCCTCCCCAGTCCCTCCCTCAAGACTGTGCCTTCTTAAGGGCGAGCCAACATCCTCCCCCCCCCACAAACCCAGGTGTCCTGTGTCTCAGCCCCCAACACTCCCCCTCAGGGTACCACACCCCCTCCCCACCCAAGACCAAGAAGTCAGGCCTTCCAGCCCAGGTTGTATTGTCTCCTCTCCTTTCTTAAGCATTGGCAATTTAAAGCCAATTCCTTTCCACCCAGGGATCAAATGCCCGCAGGGTCACCTGTTGAGCTAGGAGGAACTTGGGATCATCCCACCCCCTACCCCAACTCCTTTCACAGTGACTATATAGCTCCACAAACCCCGACCTGCCCTTGGGGCAAGAAAGTCAGGCTGAGGGAGGTAGGCCATTTTTGTTTCCTGAGTCATTCCAGCAGGTGCTTGGACCGTGATTCAATCCCTTTCCCCAGGTGAGAAAACTTAAGCCCTCCTAACTCCTGCTCTGGCCAAAACCTAGATTTCTCCACAGCCATTGAATTATGGCAAGTTTTATTTTCCAACCTACAAATCAGGAGTGGGGAGCCAGGAAACCCGGGACAACTCCCAAGAGCTGAGAAGTCTGTGATGTGGGTGCTGGAGAAAAAGCATAAAGCCAGATCAGAACACCAACAAGGAACGAGGGCTGGACACCGGGGTTCCAGAGGCTGGCAAGAGGGAACCCTGCTCCCTCCTCTGCCCATGGCCCAGCCCAAGCCCCAGGCCTCAAGTAATCGGATTAAGCAGCCTGCCTTGGCTCTCAGCTTTTAGCAGGAACAGCTCCAGCTCTGAGCAGCCCTGCCTAGCCCATGCTGTGACTCAGGGTATAGGAGTGGCCCAACTCCCTCTACCAGCAAACCTGGGGGAGGGGAGAAGCAACAAGGCACATGCCACCCTCCTCTGGACCAGGAGGGTCCCAGGGCATGGGGAATTTAGGAATGTCAGGAATTCCCAGCAGACAGACCACCTTTGGAACACTAGAGAAGCCAGGTATGGGGGAAAAGAAAACAAGAGCCAGGGGCCAGGGCAGGTCAATCCTGGAGAAACAAATGACCAAACTGGAGGCAAGGAAGGCACAGGAAGCAGAGAGCCATTTGGATTTTTTTATTCTCTTTTTAAATACTGTACAGTGAAAAATAAATACGCCTTCTCATCCACCAGACAAGGTTGGTCTCCCCTCCCCCGGGGGACCTTGTCACCCCCCTTCATACATACCCCTGGTTCTAATCCAAAACCTTCCCCATGCCTCCCACCCACTTATACCCTTACTATCCCCGTCTTCCACAGTGATGAGGCCCCAGAAATGGGGGGTACAGGATGGGAGGAGGGATAGCAGGGGAGCCCCCCGAACTGTCAAATCTGGGTGGGTCAAAGAGCACCCCCCACCAACAGGTGGAGAATTGGGGGTGTTCAGAGAGAGATTGGGGCATTAGAGGATAAAGGCACATCCAGTCTGATGGGGAAGGAGAGAGGCTCCCCTTACCCTGGGGGTAGAGTGGACAAGAGGGAGGCAGGTATGACCCTGTTATACACCCCTCCAATAGCTCCTGGAGGTTGGGGGGGGACCCAAGCTGCTGTGCCACCCCCCTCCCCCCTAGATAAGAGCAGCTCCAGCGCAGGTCAGTTGGGCCTGTGAGGGCCATGGTGTTGGGCAGCAAGCGAGATGGAGAAGGGAGGGATGCAGGCTGGAGGTTTTATGAAACCCCATTCACCAAACTACCCAACTCCAGGGGGGCTGAGAGCTCCCCATTCTCCGAGGGGCCCTTAGGAAGCTTGCTGACAGAGTCACCCTGAGGGAGAAGTGGGAAAGAAAACCAAGACAAAAGAAAGCAGACGGTCAGTAGAATTTCAGGTGGATGATACTCCCTGCCATTGAAACCCTCCTGGCATCTGGTGATCCAGGGGTTGGTTCCCTGATCTCATGCTCCAGTCACTCTCCCTGGGATCCAGAAAATGTGAGCCAAACTTGCCTCTCTAGTCTATGCAAAGTGTGCACTGTTCTAAATGCAGTCTACGCCATAAGACACAGCCACCTCTGCAATGCAGTGAGGGATTTCTTTAGGAATTTTTTTGTGCCCTCTGCCCCAAAACAATAACAAAAAAGGGATGGGGTAAACCACACCTTGCCTGCCTACCTTTTGTCCTGAAAGAGAGTCTTCTGAGGGTTTAGTGTGTTCCAGGGGTGGCCGCTGGCGGCTCTGAGACTCTGCTCGTGAGATATAGTCAGCCACAGTCACTGGGAAAGGCAGGGCAGAGGATCGAGTTTCAGAAGGAACTCCAGTATCAAGCCCTACACACCCACTGAACCCCAACCCTGGTTTTCATAGGGTAGGAGGCATCCCATTCTCTAAGCTCTGAGGAGGAATTCCGGTGTCCAGTGTTAGCTGACCTGGCTGGCGGTCTCCACTGACAGAACCATCAGTACGGTTACCACGGTTACGGCGGCGGCGGCTGCGATTACGACGCTGGGGTCTAGATTCATCTTCTGTTAGGGAAAAACAAGTCACCCATCCAGTCTCCCATCCCTCAATTCTTACCCATCTTTAATTTTTCAGACCCCAGGCACAGCCCTCACCTAAGCCATTTTCTGTCATGTTGGGCCCATCTGATTCCAGGCCTCCATCCATGACAGTCCTATCTTCGTCAGTGCGGCGGCGGCGGGAGCGGCGGCGCCTAGCACTTGCTGGGGGGGGTTCCCCAGGCTCTGAATCAACTGGGGGCTCTGGTTCAGATGTGTCCAATAGGCTGTAGGGATTACTGTCTGGATCCTTCAGCACTAGTCAGAGGAAGAAGAGAAGTTGGGAGTCAGATATCCATCATCTTTCCTTTTAGCCCACATTTATGAACACAGCCATCTGGTGGTACCTGAGCTAATAGATGAAGAATTATATCTTGAAGTGGGCCGAGGAGCAGGTGGGGGTCCCCTACCCCGGCCCCCAATCGGCCGCCTCCGGTTTTCTTCCCCTCGAGTTGGAGGATCCCTGTCGCCGGGCCCAGCTCTGTGGGGCTCCTCTCTCTTCTCTGACTCTGTCTCAGAAGCTGTGGATGGGTCTGAGCTGGGGCCTGAAGAACACAATGGGATCTATTTAGGGACACTCTTCCTATCCCAGGATCTATCACAGTTCCCAAATCAGAAGAATTCTCCCTCTCACTCATAAGTCCCTCAGTCAATCACCTCTTTATCATCTCCATCACAGCTTTCCCTCAAGTTCCCATCCAGACCTCTGCCTCTCCCTACAAGCCCCGCCACTCCTTGCCTCCCGCTCCCATAGCCGGCTCACCATAGGCAGGACCGCCTGTCCTCCGACCCCGGCCCCGGCCCCCGTAGCTGCCCCCATAGGTTCGAGTGGCATGAAGGGAGGAGGAGCTCTCATCAGTGGTATATCCAGCTTTGTCACTGCCACCGCTGCCCCGCCCACCGCCAGGAGGGCGAAAGCCCAGCCCGATCTGCCGAAGCTGTTCATCAATTTGCAGCCTCTCTAAGCGAAGCTGCTCCACCTCCTGATTGGGTAGAAAATGGAAAAAGATATGGAAAGAGGAATAAAATCAATGGATAGTGCCTTTCTTTCCCTGCACATCCTAAGCGCTCAGGAATGCATGGAGAGGGAAGACATTGGCTAAACAAAATTCTGGCATCCAACCCTACAGCCCCAGATTACCACCAATGTTTCAATGTTTCCTGTTCTACACAGAGAGACAACTAGGCACCATAGTTCCTCAGTTTATCCCCCAGCAGTCTTGGTCTCCTTTCAACACCCAGCTCTTTCCTCTTCCAACTTGGGTACCTGCAGGTAGGAGAGGTGGTATTCCAGCAGAGCCTGGGCATTGCTGATATTCTCTCGGGTACCAACAAATATGAAGGGAACCATTCCCTGGAGAGTAGAGGGAGGAAAGACGGATCAGAAAGGAAAGTGAAATGGAAATACTAACCCCACCTGGTCTCCTAGGAGAGCCCACCCTATGGGGTCAACCTGGGCTCTAAATCTACTAAGGGGAAACAAAAGTTTCTGTCCTCACCCTCTTAAAGTCTCAACCCTGAGATAACAATCCCATCTACTTCTGGAAACCAGTCTCTAGGTCTAGTTGCCCCACACCCATACCTCCTCCCTGGGGTTCTTCTTGTCATTGTCACCTTCCACTCGAACCCTCACCACACCAGATTTATCCACAATCTCCTGGATCACTTTCCCGTTCTTTCCGATCACTTTGCCTGAATGGATAAAGGAGGAATTAGGCCTTTAAAAAAAAATTTATAAAAAAGGTAATAAAGAAGAGTAAAAACAGGTAAGTTAAAAGGTCTTCCAGCCTCAACCCCCTTCTCTATATGGAGTCCATTTAACTCATTCTTCTGCTTCCAGATTTCTGATGAGGACAAATTATAATCCCTAGAAATGTATTCTTCTATTTCACCACTCCTACTACTGAGATTTGATTTGTCCTTGTGAAACTGGGAGTCCACAAAGAGGTGCCACCTGGCTACAGAAGCCCAGAATCACTTTAGATAATCTTGTACCTGGCCCACAACTATATGCTTCTCTTTTATACATGCACACCCCTCAACTCACCAACCAGGTTCCTGGGCACTTGCACTGAGTCCTCAGAAAACTCAAGGTAGCTTCGGGCCTGTCGGCATGCCTCGGGTGTCTAAGGGAAGAGTGAAGAGTTATTATTAAAATAAAGGACCTTATCCCACAAAGATATACAACTATTATGTACTCATAATAATTAAAAATAAAAAATTGAAAACATAGAGGACCTGGATCTCAAACAATGGTCTACCTGCCAGCCACTCTCTTGTCTTTGGGGGAAATGTGTTGCCACCAAAGTCAGGGAGGGTGGTAAGTAAAACTCAGGTTTGCTTGCTACTTCAGCCTCTCTTCTTTCTATCCCCTAAAGCTGCGATGCCCAACACCCAGGCTGCACATCACCACCTAGCTTTGCCTGCCCCTGGCCCACCCAGTGGAAAAATTATCTTCTGTGAGTGAAACTTTGAAGCTTCATCTGTATTTACAACTGCTCCCCATCACTCACATCACCACCTGAGCTCCACCTCCCCCCTGCACCCTCTGTGGAAAAATTATCTTCCATGAAACCTGTCCCTGGTGCCAAAAAGGTTGCAGATCATTGCCCTAAAGGATCCAGAAGACAGGGATCTTTTGCTGACCTCCCCATAGATACGGAAAGTGCAGGTCTCTTCGCCTAACTCAATGGCGGTCACCCCAGGTACTTTTCGGGCCTGCTGGATGTTGGCACCGTGAGTCCCAATTGCCAGTCCCATAAGGTCCTCTCGCACTGTGAACTCCTCCTGGAATGCTGCTGCCAACTGCTTGCTTGTCTGAAAGGAAAAGGCACTGTAGTAATCATGGTGGTAGAATCTCAGAACAAGTCCCAAGTACCTGACCCTTTGGGTAACTTGAATAAGGACAAATGGGTGAAAGAAATCCAGAATCACCCTGGAGTCAGCTGACCACTAGGACCTATGTGGAAAGTTCAGGAACTTTTTTTTTTTGAGACAGAATCTCACTGTTACCCAGGCTAGAGTGCCATGGCATCAACGTAGCTCACAGCAACCTCAAATTCCTGGGCTCAAGC